GGAGGAGGGCGAGGGGGCAGCTGGAATCGGACAAGTCTGCTGGGTGATGCTGTAGTGGGCGAACACAGCTTTAACGTCCTTTGCCAAGTGGCAGCCCGTCTGAACACTGCTGACGAGGTGCTCGAGGCAGCCTCTCCACGCCGTGCCCCGGTGACAAAGGCACGGAGGCCACGCGGGTGTCCCAAGGCTCCGCTCCCCAGCGGGAATGGTGGGGACAGGGGGAACCAACTCCTACCGGGCACCCGGGGACCTCCAGCCGGGGGCTGCCAGGCTGAAGCTCTGCCCTAGGGAAAGTTCAACCAGTTCTGCAGGGGCGCGGGGGTGGAATACAATAAGGTACGGGGAGCGGGGGGGAAGAGGAGGAGGGGAAAAAAAAGAGAGGAGTCAGGAAAAACTTGCGCCCCGGCGCCGGCTGCTCCCAGGCCCCCGGTGCAGACCTGCTTGCTTCTCTCCTCCGCTGCCTTCTTGTCCGCCTCGGCTTGCTCGGCTCTGTCCAAGGCGTTCTCCTTGTCCAGCTTCAGCATCTGCATCTTCTTCTTGATGGCATCCATGGTGGCGGTGGGTTAGGGCGCGAACCCGCGCGAACTGCTCCCGAAAGTAAAACTTGTAAAGGTGCGGGACAGCCCCGATCCGGACGCGGGCGCGGCCCCCGGGGGAGCGGAGCGGAGCTGCGGGGCTGGTCCGTGCGGGACGGGGCGCCGGCCGAGTGCAAGCGGCGCGCACGGAGCGCCTCACAGATATGTACTTTCCCAGGGGGCTGACTGCATTCCTCAAGACATCCAATACTTTTTTGGAAAGGGCTTTTTTTTTTTTTCTTCCCTCCCTCCCTCCTCCGTTCGTCCCTACCCCTTTCCCTCTCTCACTGCCCCTTGGCTTTTTTTGGGAAGCGCAGCCCTCCCATTCGCTGCCGCCTGCCATTTGACCGTAGATATGACTATATATGGGATGAGATGGGCGAGGTAAGGCGGGGGAGCAATTTGTTCCCATTTCCAGATAGGCAGGACGGGACGCTTCGCTGCTACTCCTGGGGGAGAAAAAACCCCACGAAAGGCAGCAAGCGGGAGCGCGGGGAGCGGAGGAGAGGGGCCGCAGGGTGGGGGACACCAGTCCCGTGCTGGAGCCGTCCCCACCCCTGGAAATCAATGTTCTACAGCACCAGGGTGGCGGAGCCGACGGGGGAACACGCGGGGCTGCGGGGCAGGGGTGCTGGCGGAAGGGCAGGAAGGGGTTAACCGCATGCACGTACGGAATGAAGCGTTCGGAGACCTTCCCCCGGCAACCGGAGGAGGAGAAGGAGGAGGGGGAGGAGGAGGGGGCACCTCAGCCGTCTGGCTGCGGCAGATGCGGGCGGCGGGTGCTGGGCCGGCCCCACAGCGCCGAGCACGGAGCCCAGACTTCGTGGCGAGACCCCGGCGGGGCTGGGCAGGGATTCGGCCGGGACCCCCAGCGAGGGGAGGGGGCCGAGGTGCCATCCTGACCCCCGGGACAGGTGACCATCGAGGGCACGGCAGCGCTCTCCACTCCTCCCCCGGGGAAGGCAGAGCTGCCAGCAGCTCCCAGTGCTTCCCCAGTGCACCGCTGGCTCTGCAGGGAGAGGTGCCTCGGTGCTGCCCATGGAAGGGTCGCAAACAGCGGCCTGGAAGGAAAAGGCAGAGGAGAACTTCTGCAAGGCTCAACCGCTGGCTGCACTCCCGGGGGTAGCCAGAGCTGCGAGGGATGGAGCCCAGGGACGGCTGGGGCACAGAAACTGGCTGCAGAGGTGACTTGCACCCTTCTGTAACGCCAGCGAGAGACAGGCAGCAGAGACAATTAACAAAATAACATATAATTAAGTAGAGACCTATTTAATTCACTTCTGGTGGGTCTCTCACAGGCTCATCAGCAGAGCGAGCAAGACACAACACGCTGTCCTCAGGACACACGCTCCCTTGTGCAGTGCAGGGAGTACATGGATGTGCACAAGTCCCACAGGACTTGGGTTGCACAAAGAGAAAATTAAGCAGCCTCTTTGTCTACGCTTGGTACTTGCAGCAGGGAATTCCTCCCTGGTGCTGTCACTGGATCAGCTGAACTGATGTTACTTTGCAGGAGGAGGGAATGTCCTACAGCTTCTGGCCCATGGTACGTGCCAGGGCAGTAAGGGCTGGATTTGCAAAGCAGGCCTTGGAGACCACCTCCTGGAGAGCTTAAACAAACTGCACCACGAAGTTTCAGCTCTACAAGATTGCAAAGCCCCCTGAACAGAGTTCAGACCTTCCCCTAACTCCTGAGAAAGGCCACGCTCTGAATCCAGCTATGAACTATCCCAAGTTCAGAGAGGCTCACAACCAGGCTTGGGGATTCATGTGCAGTGCTACCAGAGAGCATGAGGCCACTGCTAAAGTAGAAGCCTTGTGCCTCCTTAAAGAAAAGATGATTTCTCACTGCATTCCTTTGTCATTGCATTGGTTTAATAACCAAACTACTATAACAATAATAGTAAAATAATAGAAAAAGTAATCAAAGTCATTAAATGAAACATGGCACTGTTACAGAATGTTTTAAAACACCAAAGAACAGAGTATTGAAAGAGTCTGCAGATTTAGTCACAACCAACACCAAAGTGTAGTTTTTCTATTTGCGCTTGCCTTGCTTTGACATTTTAGTCAATTAGAACAGATTAGGGCCTTCCTGAGGTGAGTATAGTGAATATTTAAAAGATGCCTAGTTACATATTGTTCAACAACTCGACTGCATTGTTAAACATATCAGTCGGTTTTGTTCCTAGTTTAGGAGAACTTACTCCTCTCTCACAAAAAATTCCTTAAAAAGCATAGAGTATCATGGCTGGGAATGCACTGAGGTAGTTCTTCTCACTTTGGGGAAAGCAAAGACTTGCAAAATTAAACAAACAGTGTCCCGTCTAGCTAATTTGGGAGTGGTGCTGATAGGCTCTTAAAGAATTCCTGTGCAGCTCCATTTTTCTAAAAGAATGTTAGCCATGACATGGGAGCCTCTAGGATACATGAGAAAGTATGAGATATGGGCAGAAGGAAAGGAATTCCAAGTTTTTTATAAAAAATACCTGGAGGATGCAATCACCTCCACAGGAAAAGAAAATCTCGAGGTTCTACTTCCATGAAAATGTCCAGTTAATAAGCTTTGTTTATAGCAAGATGACCCTGTACCCATGGGGCTGAGCTGATGGTGATTTAATTTTTCTTTTCCTCAGAGAGAGAATATGAAAAGTACAGACACGTGTAAACATGCCTGCTATACGTTTCATTAACAATTTCAATTGCTTGGAAATTTCTGTTCCAGCTGGCTAAGAAAGATAGGCTTGGAAATCTAATAGTTTGTGTAGTCCCTCCCTCTTTAATTGACATGTGAAGACAGACTATACAAATTATTTTTGTGTACTGAAAAATGAAGGTAGCTCAAACTTTGTTTTTCTGACATAATACCAATTCTCTAATGGTACTTGTTACCTTTTGTTGTTTTTCACCACAATGCCTAATCTCATCTCATCTCAATCTCATCTCATCTCATCTCACCTCATCTGTGTCACTGAAAATGATGCAGGGACTCCCTAACAGCAGATTCACTTGCTTCTGGGGAGTACCTACTGCACTCATCTTGAATTCTATTAATATAATCAGGCTCTTTAGAAAATCCAGACAGCCAACACAAAGAACGAGAGTGGGATATCTGGTTTTGAAGTTCACAGCTCCTCCTAAGAGTAGGTGATGTTGCCCTTCAGGCTTACTGACAACACAGCACATTTTCCCAGAGTAAGGCTGGAACCTGTTCATGTCACGGTGTTTCTGCCACGTCATGTATCCCTTGACAAAGGCAGAAATTTGCCTTAAGGAGGATCTGCTTTTTGGGCACAGATTGGGCTGGTCAAAGGGGGTTCACACTGTTCATTCTTGGAACAGACAGAAGGGTAGGTGGACATCATCACTTGGAAAACTTCTAACACGCACCTGGAGTTGCTTTTTCTTCTCCTTGGTCTCTCTTTTTTTTTTTAAGGAATATACAGGAAATGACACCTAATTTTATACTACAACTGGTTCTGCCAGTTCTATAAAAACCTGCTTCTTAAAAGATTATTAAGGATTCAAATTAGGTCAGTTAGAGTGAACTCGTAGGCCTGTATGTGCCATTTCAGACGTGGAGTGTTCCCTCAAAGGGAGGCAAATATAAATGAAATACAAACCAATGTCTCAAAGGTCTCTCAACTTCTGCAGCCCTTGTAAAACAGGAAGGTTCATTTTGGACAAAGGGAGCAGCAACAAGACTGTAGCACATCATCCAAAAATAGGAAATTGAAAACATCTGTATTTACCTAGAGAAAAACCAAAAAACCCAATAGATACTGAGGAAATTAGGCAGGTTTTACTACTCCAGTGAGTGTATTTTAGCCTGTAAAGCTCTCCAAGAACTTTGCACTAAAGAAATTGAGGGACAATATTTCTAAAAGAAGCATAAAAGTGGCAAAACTTGCCCTGAGGGAATGGGTCATGTATTCTCCAGCTATAAAGCAGGAGAAGGCCCTAAAATAGAAGGTAGGAATCCTGACAGTTCTCTGCACAGTTCAGGAGGCAACAAACGAGTACAGAAATACTCCTGAACATGCCAATCATGCTCAACACATGCTGTAACTCTATAAAGGGTTTGCTGTAACATTTCCTAGGGAATGGTGAAGAGCAGTTCAACTTTTGTAACTAAGAACTATGGGATGATTTATTGGAAAACAAAGACTTAACTTCTTTGTAAATTATTTTGATAATTTTCCTCTTCAGAGCTTACGTTTCTGTCTGGTTTGTCATTCAAGAAATTAGTGAACTCCTTAAGGATAAAAGTATTTTTAGCACAGTCTTCTGCACCTGCCCTGATCTATAATCCAAGGGTCTACTCAGATACCACACCAAATGCTAAGAAGCTCATGACCTAACTCATGACCTAAGATCTTAAAATAGCTCTGAGGTATTTTTTTTTCCTAAGACTCCTTTCACTCTAATTGCACTACTGTTATTCACTAGTTTTCAGCTGAGCAAACATGTCTCCCAAGATTTTATATTGTGCTTCCTTTTAAAATCAGATTTGCTTTAGCTGGTAGTTATGAATTACTAATGTAATTCCCTGAAAAAAATAAATAAAACCCAAAGATCACTCTCGGTAAGACACTTTCCTACATCCTTCTCTTATAGCTTTGGAGAGTTTTAGACCAAAAAAGATTATTAGATCATTTAAAATAGTTTGCCTGTATTGTTGGATTTACGTTCCACTCAGTGAAGTCTCTATTCAAGTCACTTACTTAAATTTAACTACAGTAATCTAGGGTTTAAAAAAACAGTGTTTAAAAAATCAGTCTTGAAAAAAAATACCCAGTTCCCTTTGATTCAAAGTATGGTATTGTGCAAGAGAAAAGAAGAACCATGAAGAGGATAAGTAACAGAAAAGGGCAAGTAGTATGTAATGAGGGGGAAAGAAAAAAGGCTAAAATCAACTATACCCAAACACCAAACTGAAAGGAACTGTGAATCAACAAATCCAAAAACAAGTGAGTCTCTCCTGGTGAGAGTCCAGTCATAACCTTACACTGGTGCAGAAATTCCATTAAATTTTGTGATCTCCTCCTATGCCAAATGATGTCAGACCCAGTTCTACTGAAAACAAGTGGAGAAAAAGTTGTAGAAAGACCCCCTGTCCTGTACAGGAAGGCCAATACCTTCAGAAGACAGAGTTCCATCCTTGTGAAGCAGCTCCTTTGCCAGTG